AACATGGAGTTTGTGCTTGGACATTATCAGATAATGAAAATTGCTCCTGTAGTAGCAAAATCATTATGGGTTGACTTATCGATTGCTACATTCGACATATAGAGAAATGAAAGTCTAAAGATCTCATTTTCCCCCGAAGTGGAAAAAATGAAGAAAAAATGTGTCAAATAAAAGAAATGGATCTGGTAACTAAAATATTGGAATATGAGTTACCATTGCGATGGGGAAAAATCATTGATCTTGTACCCGATGTATGAAAAGAATTTTTATTGGTCCAAGAATAATTTGAAAGAAAAATGAAAATCTATATGTGCTCCTGCAGTTGCAATATTATCTTAGAGGTTTTACAAAGTGTAAGTTAATTTCTTATTAGTTAAAGGTGAAAAATGTATTGGACTTGTGATGAGAAATATTATACAATATGATCCAAAGGGTGTTGTTTCATTCCCGGAAGCGAATGAAACAAACCATTCTTAAAAGTGAATAGATCGAGACACACCATTATATTAATATAATTTTTTGTTTGGATAACGACAATCAACAAATGTATCCTTTCACCGAAAGTGAAAGATAAAATAATTATAAATGAGGATGACAACTCATATAGCAAAAGTCATGATCGTATACCGTAACCTTCATATGTCGGAATGTGTTATAAAGCACATATATGTTATTATTATTATTTTGTATGCTTTTGTATAGAATGAATATTCTCAAAAGTCAATACTGGTATTATATCATATAGTATGAAAGTAAGGAAAAGCTCCGGAAGAGATTGTGTTTTGTTCTTGAACTAACTAAACAATATATTGGTGATATTCATAGTATGTAAATATTCTTATCACTATGTATATGCGCTTACAATAGTTTACCCAATCAGAAGGTGCCTCATTATCAAAATGTAGTACAAGAGTATGTGAAAGCTCCAGAAGAGCTAATGTTTTGAGACGTGAAGTAACTAAACTGTCAGTTGAAAATGCATTATCGAATTATGAAGATATTCACATAAACGAATATCATAATTGATATTGCATCATATATGTGTTCTAAGAGAACATATACTTAACTGGAGAAATTTGTACTACATGTATATAGTACATATGAAAGTGTAAACTAGAAGTTTACAAGATCAGATAACTTTTGTTTTGGCATATCTGGTCATACCATCCCGGATACAGATGTGAAAAAATGATTGAGATATCATATGGAAATTAAGTGACAGTTTAGAGAATTCATCAATCAAAGGATTGATTATGTGATACATGCTCTCGAGGAGAATATACTCGTGAAAATAATTGAATCTGTTGAGATTTTATAAAAGTGTATGCAGAAAAATACACTCTCCGTGCAAATCATATATGAATTTTATGATTTTGATTGATTCATCAACTATATCGTCATATATGTCTGTTATCTAACCGCAACATGATGTTTGCGAGATTAGTTGTCGAATGATGGATATATTTTGATGATTATCCAATCAAACAGAACTTCTCTTATGAAAACAAGCTAAGCCTATCGATCTCATGTCGAGGCATGCTAGTTAGCATATGGTATCATTAATTCGCATGAAGCCAACAAGTTATCAAAAGTTCCCCCTTCATACAAATGGTTTTGGTTAGGGACCAAACATTTCAAATGCTAGAACATTTGGGTGTGCAGAATACATCTCAATTGCTCCACCACAAAACGTTGTGAGTTCCATGAGAACTTATGTTGGACATGGTGTCCATTGCAATGAGAGATTTGTTCATGACTCTCTTTGCTAATATCATCATTTTGATGAATTACTTTTCGAACGTTAGGGGGGGGGGGGATGAAAAGTAAACAGTTGGCCGTAGATGTGAGTTGGAATCATCATTATCACATTTTGATCCTCAAACGAAGAAACATGAACACGAAGTTCATAAGGTGATTCATGGAGAAAAAAAAACGTATTGATTTCCAAACGCCTTTTTACTCACTAAAAGGAGTGATTATGTCACATGCTCAGTTGTGAATGCTCCAATACAAATTGATGTCCATATTGGATAATCTAATGAGTCTAAACGAGCGCATGAAGCGTGGTAGACCAATCGGTTCCATGGATAAAAATCCTCGAGAAAGGAAGGAGCTATAAATTAAGATGGTAAACTCGAGGATAAAATAGCTCTAGAAGAGTCAAGTCATAAAATTGAGATCATAGTTCCAGAAGAATAGTAGGTACCTGAACGTTTTAAAATGAAGAAATCTCAATTAATTGGCTTGTATGAAAAAAGTTGGAACCGAAGTGTATTTATTGTCGACAAGGGTTTTGATTATGCTGTAGCACTGAGCGTGATAGATACAAAGATGATCAAAAGTAAAAGTCTATTGATGCATGCAAAGGAATATATATTGGCCAATATAAAAGAAAGCATTAGGCTATTTGGTATAAGTTTTGGACCAGAAGTCCTTACACTTGAAGATGTAAAACTAACGACAAAAAGGTTTTGTGCAAATGCGTATGGAAATTGCGAGAGATATAATACAATTTCTCATGAGAGGTTTCTGGTAGAAACCTGGCATCAATTATGAAGAGACATACTCTATTGTGGTGGATGCAACTATGTTGTGCAATTTAAATAGTTTGGCAGTTCAAAAAGCATGAAATTTGCATTTGGTAGATATTGTGATAGCCTATTTGTATGGATCCTTTGATAATGATATTTATAAGAAAATCCCTGAAGGATTAGTTTGTCGGAAGCAAACATGTGACATTCTCGAGAACAATATCGATCGATAAAACAATCCTTTGTTTGGATTGAGATAAAATGGATGAATATGGTATATTCATCTAAGTGAATATCTACTAAAGGAAGTGGTCGAATAAGCCTTGCGTGATTAAATTCGAATAGAGTGCATTAGAGCATTTGCATTTGGCATGTGTGATTGTGTAATGACATATAGGCTTATGTGCGTTGTGATTTTAGTTATGAGTTTGATTTATGAATGTGGTTTGGTTAAGTGATGTTGTGTGTATGACGTGCCTTTTGCTTGTGACCTTGTGTTATGAAGTAATTGTTTGCATACAATTGTGTTAGCTAAGTTTTATAGTTATTTGGAAGAAAAGAGTCGAGACATTATTTTATAATGATCTCATATGTTTTAGTTGATATGAACTCCAGAAGAGTTTCATAAAGCATGGTTTGCTTAAAAGGAAATTGAACATGGAGGATTTAAGAAGATTCTTTTTGGATCAAGACGACAATGTCGGAAAAGTGAAAGAACAATTTTGTATGGAAAAAATTGCATACGTTCAACAGCCAAATGATCATAAGGTCACTAGAAGTGAACAAAGATCAATTTAGGCCTTCAGATAGAAGCGAGTTATTAGGTCCTGAAGTACCATATGCCAATGTCGTTAGAGCAAAAATGTATATTGCTATACTTCATTACCTATTGGTAACGATGAGGATCATAGATGAGTAATTTGTTTACTCATGGTCGTACAAGTATCTCATGGAGATTCCAAAGAAATCACAATAACAACATCATCTGATCATGAACAATGGTCAACAATTCATGAGACTTGTTATGAATTGTTTGGTTAAGATTTGTGATTCAACACGTCTAAATGACTTGTGGTTGCGGATTATATTCATAGAAAATGATCTTGAAGATCATGTATGACGAAAATGGTCCTAATGGATCATGCATAAAGTGACAATCTAGAAGATTTGTTCACTAAGAAGCTTACCATGACAATATTTGAAAGATTTGTTCACAACACTATTGATGTTGTCATGAGGGGAGCATATACGCACTGCACTCTTTTTTCCTTAACCATGGTTTTTCCCACTGGGTTTTCCTGGTAAGGTTTTAAACGAGGCAGATTCAAATAGCGTATTATGATGATTATGTACTTTTTTTCCTTCACTAGGATTTTATCCCACAGGGTTTTTCCTAGTAAGGTTTTAACGAGGCATATTCATGTCTAATGGTCATCCAAGGGGGAGTGTTATGAAAATATTATTATCATTATGGATGACCAACATTAGTGCTCCATGGTATGTTACAATTTCTATGTAGCTCATCTCCTTGTATTTATTTCTTCATATGACACATTAGATGCACAATTGGGTGTTACATGTAACCCCCACCCCATTTCTATTTCACATTCATTCTCACATTCATGTATATTGATTGTAAGAATCTAGAGGTTATGTGATGTGTGCCTATAAATAGATGATCTCCTTGTACTAAGAAATACATGAATAAGAAAGCTCTATTCCCCCACTCTTCTTGTGTCTCTACTCTTACTCTTATGTCTATTGCTCTTCCTTGCTATTTTACAACACTCGGACATATTTTAAGAAGCTAATTTTTACGCTCTGACCAAATTTTATTCAACTTTGGACAGTTGCTCAGAGGTCTCTCGTTTGGAATTAGACATTCTCTAGTAAGGTCCAACATGAATAAAATCATTTTTCTTGTTTAAGTTTTAAAACATCAAATTTAGAAACCTTTTATGTAGGGGGTGTTCAAACAGTGGGGTTACCGTGGTAACCGTTTTAATCGGTAGTATTTGGATAATTTGATTTGGTTTGGTTTGGTTTCAGACACTCCTAACCGATCAAACCAAATTAACCAGTTAATTAATTAGCTATATATCTAATATATTATATACACATACTTAATACTTTGCTAACCACTCAAGAATCAAATGTTAGATAATTGTATTAGTTACATGTATATATGTTAAGGGTTAACTATAATTTTGGGTTGGTTGTTATGTGTTATTCATTATATAAATTACGAATTGATGCACTTACCGGAAGTTTTTCTCACTTAATGATAATGTGATGGTATATTGATTATTTTGGTAAACCAGTTAACCAAACCGATTAAACTTTACGTATAATCACACTTTTCTCTTAAAATTGTAGTCAAATTTTACGCTTAAAATCTTACATTTTTACGCTACTAAACACCAAAATCCTTCTCTATAAAATCACAATTTTAACTCCATTGATAATATACATGCTTTAGTTGGAAAAAAAAAAGAGTGATGAAAGTGCAGTAATTACAAAAGTAAAGTGGCAATCGGTGCATTTAACCCATTTCTTTCACCTTCGGCTTCAAACGGTTCTCTCCGAAACACAGCGACGCCGATGGAGCAGCAGGTGAGGAGCGTTTGTGAGCTCTCTCTGGACGCAGAGAAGCCTCTATGTCTCCAGTTCATGGCTTCAATGAGGTCGCTCATCGTCAACCCTCACACTTCCAATTCCACAATCTCTTCAACCCTCGAAATCCTAATTCGCTCCCTTCAACACGCCGGCGACTCGCCCCTCCGCCACCACGCTCTTAAACTACTCTACGATATTGCGTCCCTCCGTCCTTCTCTCTCCCCCGCTGTCTTCGATGGCCTCCGTTCCAGCTTCTACTCGTCGCTCTCCGCGGGATCATCCACCTTCGCTTCCGAGATACTGGCCAAGCTCGCTTCGTTGTCGGATAAACACGGGAATCCAGAAATCGAGCTCGACGATCGGATATTTGTCTCGCTGTGCTTTCTACCGTCGGTCACCGGGAGGCTGCAACTTCTCACGAATGCGGAAAGGCTAGGGATAGGTGCTTCCGTGTTGTTCACTGTGTTCTTCGGTTTGACGAAAGATCCTTATCCTTATGTGAGGAAAGCTGCATTGGACGGCCTAGCTGGATTATCAAGATGCAACGAGTTCGAGGATGTTGGCTTGATCGAAGGATGCTTCCGTCGAGCTGTTGAGCTTCTGCGGGATGCCGAGGATTGTGTGCGTTCTGCAGCGGTTCGCGTGGTAATTGATTGGGGTACAATGCTCTTCGCAGCCCATAAAGAGAAAGATACAATGGGGAATGTTGTATTTATTCAGGTACTTAAGCTAGTTGAACATCTCTGTTATATGTTGTTAGATGAATGTGCTAAGTGATGTTTTATCAAACTACTTCGGTTGCAGCTATGTTGTGTAGTGAGAGATATGAGCGTGGAGGTCAGAGTTGAAGCATTTAAAGCCCTTGGCAAGGTAACCGAGTCCATGGTATCTGAGGAGATTTTGTTACAGAGTCTGTCTAAGATCACAGGGGCCTTGGAAAAGAAGATTGCTCAAGCTAAGTCATCCGAAGGAAAGAAAGAAAATAGATCTCAAGCTCAACTGACTTCGAGGGTGCTTCAAATGTTTGCATCAAATGGTGCGGGAGCCTTTCTGCATGGGCTTGAGGATGAGTTCCACGAGGTAACTTCACATTGTCAAGCAGTTGCGCTGTCAATTACATACTTCAGTAGGCATACACATTGAGGGAAGATTCATAGTTTCCCACCTTTGAGTGTATTTATTATTATTTTTCCTGCCTGAGATTCGCAATCTTGGTTATGGTGTTCCCAGTTTCTGTCGCGATGGCAACATATCACTTTTCTGTTTTTCCTTCTGGTTAACGTCAAATTCAATCGTCTTCGTAGATGAGTGATGCAACAAATTCATTAAGGCGATTGGAAATGGGTATATTATCTTGCTTCTGTGCTTCTATGAAGGTGGTGAAGTCTGCCTGTTGCTCATTGCGTAAGCTGGTCCGCCTTTCTGCTGAGTTTGCTGGGCAGACCTCGAATCTGTTAATCAATATGCTGAATGATCACACAGTAGCTGTCAGGTTAGAGGCTTTGGAAACGTTGCATTATATGGCGGGACATGGTTTTGTTAATGTACAAAAGGAGCAGATGCACATGGTAGGTTTCTTACCCCCTTTTATATATTTGTCTAGGTCAGAAGCATTGCAGATATAGTATGATGTTTCAAGCATTCATTCCACATGCGTCTCTGCTTATATTGCTGTGGAGGATCCATTTCATATTCATCATTTTTAAAAGCGGAGGGAAGGGATCCCTTTTCTGGAATGGAAAAAACGGGGCAGATTGTCAGTTCGTTAGAATACATGCTAGCAGATATCTTTATCCTAAGATTGTAACTACAACCTTTTCTGACGGTTCTTGCTTTCTACTATTCCATCTTGTTTTGTATCATTGGATACAGAGTAACTGACAGTTGGATGACTGGTTTGACTTGCAGTTCCTCGGAACACTTGCTGATAAGAGTGATATAATCAGATATGCTGCCAGAAGAACTTTCAGATTGGTTAAGCTGTCTGAAGTGGATTGTTTTAGGAGCTCAGTTAGCAGCCTTCTAAAAAATTTAGAGGTGCATCCCCAGGTACTGTACCTCTCTCTCTCTCTGGGGACTGGTATCTCATAGGACCAAAAGTAACAAGGTGCCACCTTTCTTCGTGTAAGACAAAGTAAACCTTTTTCTTGCCAAACCATATTCTCCCACACAGGATGAAGCTGATACCTTCTCTGTTCTGTTTCATTTGGGTCGAAACCATGGAAATTTTGCTTCGCAAGTGATCAATGATGTTTGCGACCAGGTAATCATCTGTTTTTTCCCCTATCAATGGCAGTTTCTTAATTTGTATTCCTCATTCTGATTTCTGGCAGCTTCTCGAAATGCTCCCGCCCACATCTTTTAGCCTGCTAGCTACAATTATTTGTTATATGGAGCCTGCTAGCTACGATTATTATCTATTATTTACAAGTAATGTGCTGGTAATGTTTATCTGATAACTTTCTTGTTGTTTGGATTCAGCTCGAGCCAGTTTTTGAGGGAACATTAAGCCTCGATAGTGCAAATACAGCAGCTTACCTTGTACTTTCCATCTCAGCTCCACTTTCTAAGGATCATAGAGGAAAACATATACCACCACATTTATATTCTTTTGCAGTTACACATATAGGGAGGATCTCTCTTGGTTTGGGTGACATTATGGACCAGACTACCCTGTTAACTTATTTAACCGAGAAGAGCATATCAGCCAGCTCTGTGGCAGAATTCATACCTGAGGAGCATCCAAGGTCTCCAGTTGTTCATGATATTCCTAGCCAGGATGATAAGAAAAGCAATACAACTTCATTGCAGCTGGTACCATGTGAATCAAGTGGTAATATAGCAGCAACAATTGTATCTTACAATCAAAATGATGATACCAACATCCTGAAATGCTTGAATCTTATACTTGGAAGAGTCAGAGATATTTGGTTGTTTGGAAAATCAAGTTGTAACTCTGAAGCACTGAGAACTCTGAGGTCATGTTTTCTATTGGATCTTTAATCTTGTATTCTTCCCCTCTAATGATACATTTTAGTTTCGAATATCTGACACCCTACCATGTTTACTGTTTTCTCCACGCAGTGCTTGCAAGGAAGAGGTGTCAATGTACAGGCCCAACTCCCCTGAATCTTCTGGTGCATGTGCATTTACATTGCAATATGTCCAAGTGGTTAAGATACTAGCCAAAGTATCAGGCCACATTTTCTATTTTCGACACTCTCACCAAATAGGCGAGTTGGAGGTCCTACTGAGCAAGTTAGACTACAGACTCAGAGAAATAAGGTCGAGATTTATAGGGTTCTCTAAGGAAGAGGATTTGCAAATCTTGGAGCTTGTTCTCTTTTCTTGCTTATTAAAGCTAGCTACAGGCAATGTCAGCTGCTGGGGTACTACTTTGACTACAAGGTTGTTGGCCACAATCTCACAAGTGGAATCTCTCCGCCAGGAAGGATCGATGGAACCATCTAGCTTTGTAGCCCAAGTTAAGCAGACATTAAACCAGGCCGGCATTCTCTCCACTGCTCCCCTCTTCTTTAAAAAGTTGGCTGATAACTTCTCCCTTGGGCAGTTCACTTTAAGGAGTAAGATTACACATGTCAGTGCAGAATTGGTTATCCCCGGGTATGATTCCCACCATCCTCTACCTTTCGTCCCGGGATTGCCTGTAGCTATACCTGTGGATATCACTTTGCATAACATATCCAGTGAGGGTAGGCTTTGGCTGAGTTTAACATCAGATGATGGTCAGTTGACTCAGTTTCTGTTCTTGGATCCAAATCTACAAGTGGTTTCTGTTGGAGCGAAGATGAAGAAGAAGATCTCTATGTCCGCACCCTTTTATGGACCCCCGAAAGCCAGTTCATTCAGTTTGAGAGTCTGTCTGGCGATGGAATGTACGTCAGAGGATGTCTTGTTAGCCAAAGGACGTGGTGGTCCGAAACATCCATTAGTATATCTTTGCCAGGAGAAAGAAGTTTATCTCCAGAGGGTTGAGCGGAAATGAACTCAAAGAGTCTCGTATGCTTGTCATTGAGTGTTCATACAACAACTAAATCGGCTCGCTGAGAGTATTTCCCTCGTGACCTGTTGGATAACATAGCCAAGCTTGCCCTTCGTAGAGCCAGATGTACGTTGCAGAATTTGGTTTCGAAACAATGCCTTCCGCCGATCAGTGCAAAGTGCAAACTAACTAATCCTTCTTTGCCGATCATTTTGCTGCTGAATTCAGGTTGAGGAACGAATGGTACCATGTAAGCCATGCAGACGGCATTGCAGTACAGCCCAGAGAAACAAGGAACTGCCCATCCACTGAATTGGGCCGTTGTCTTGGGCTCTTGAACAAGAGTATTGGCACTACTGGATCAGGTGAAACACCTTGTCCCTTTAGGGGACATCCGATAAAATTGGAACGATACAAAGAATATCAGGTTCCATTTTACTTAGATAGCTTGTTAAAACACATCTTCATCCTATAGTCTATACTGCTTTGTTATTGGTTGGACTTGGACACAAGAATAGAGAATGTATCTTGTATGACTATTTACCAAACGGATTGTTGATGATCAATTACACCAACAATGTCTACCCTGCGTCAACCCCGTATCAACTTAGTTTTTACAATTTGACCAAAATCACTAAATCTTGCAACTCTCGTGGATGGCCTGTGGTAAACAAAAAGAACTATGCACAAAAGTGTCGTAATTGCTCATGCTCACATCTCGACTGCATTGTCGAAGCCAATCATCAAGCCAAAATCGACAATTGATAGACCATGGTAACCCTTGATCTTGCCATCCACTCCATATCTTCCCCGTCCACCTAACGATGATGCTAAGCAGTCATTGCCGACATAAAGCTTCTCTTCCCGATGGTACTCGTCTTGTGTTCTTGCCATCCTTCTCCGTCCTTGAAATACTCTACCTGCAAATTCCACCATGCATAGTCAGGTGTGTCCATTAAACCTTGAATCATAAACAAGCCAAAAGTCGCCATTGGTTTGGTTGGACTAGCATACTGTGTCCGTTATAGTTGCACCCGCTTCTACTCCTCCAAATACAAAAATGGCTTCTTTCACAACTGCGGCAGCAGAATATGCCCTCGCCTTCTTCATCGGCTCTTGAATAATCCATGAACCATTACGAGGATCGTACATTTCAGTGCTCGATACCATGGTGTCACCGTCACACCCACCTAGAGCATATCTGCATGTTGAGTTTTCACCATCACTAGACAGTTCCAGCATTTTCTCTCAAAGGGCTGTGTTGGGTTTGACTGAGAAACTAATTACTTGAAAAGCTTACATAAACATATTTCTTCAACCTAACTTTTTACAGCAACTCAATTCTAAATATAGATGCTATCTCTCACTGGTAAGATTCTATTTTCAACTCCTGCCCCTTACTACAAGGAATCTGACTGTTGAAGAGACGAGCAGAAGACATTTCCAAGACTCCCACATTTTGTTTATAATTAAAAGGACTATCTACCACTCTGTCTATAAATAGCTTTCTTACTACTACGAAATATCTCACCTCCCAATCAACCCCAGTTTTCTTAAAATCTAAAGAGGCACCCTTAATATCCATTTCTTCTCTAATTTACCAAGAACAAAGGTTACTTACGCCGAAAGGAGCACACCCAGAGCAAGTTAACTAGTGGTACAACCAAGCAGAACTTACATTTTCTCATTCAAGGCAACTAAAGAATGAGAGGCCCTGATTTCATTCATATCCATGATTCTGATCCAGGAATGTTCCCTTGGATCAAATCTCTCACAGGACCTGCAACCACACAAATCCAGACCAAATAAGGATGGCCCTTTCTTTGCCGGCTGAAGAGAAACAAAAAGAAAATTCACCCTGAAAAATTATCAAGCTGTGATGTAACTTAAGACATCGTACTTGAGATATACATTGCCATCGAAGCCACCCGTAGCATACAGCGCACCATTGAGTTCCACAGCAGCAAGAGCAAATCGCTAGAAAACATGAAGCAAAAGGGAAATGTGATTGTCGAAAATGAAACTTAGGTGTCTAATAAATTTCAAAGAATTTATCAATTCTGTACCTTTTGTAACATTGACCTTGCCTGGATCCATCGGCCAACATCAAAATCAAGCATCTCAACATCCGAAAATGACTCTTGTCCATTGCCACCCCCAAATGCATATATTTTGTCACTTATGCTAGCACTAGCTAAGCTGCCCTTCTTTTTAGATAAGGATGGGGATGACGTCCAACAGTTACTGCCTTGATTGTAGGACTCAACTTCATGAAAGGAAAAAAAGAAAGATTTAAATATGAACAAACAGAGTTATTTTTTTGTTTTCCCCCCATTTTTTATAGTGGTGTACAAATACAGAGTTACGAAGAAGTAATCAGAAGAATAGTGGAGATGAAGCAGTACCTGTATCATACCACAAATTACCATCCCCACCACCCATAACATAAAGATTACCATACAACTCCGCAACTGATGCATATGCCCGTACACAACTCATAGGACTCAGAGATTCACTCTGTCCTGTTGAAGGGAGATAAAGATCCAATGAAGATAACCATGTTTTACCATCATGTCCCCCAATGATATAGATGGAGTCACCAAGATCCAAATGCAGATCATCTGGTGCAGTTTGCGCTATCTTGCCAAAGTTTGTGATGGGAGCACTAGGAGTGCCATCCAACTTGAAACAGTGATCTTTCAGTCGTTGAATTTCTTCATCAGCCGCCACCTGGCACAATAGAAGGGGAATCATAAGAAATTGTGCGAAGAAAATAGACTAGGAGCCGTCAATTATCCTGCAAGAGCAATGGAGAGCCCACAATAGACAAACAAGGAAGCAAAGATATAAAATAAATCAGTTCTTTTAACAGAAGTCATTCAGAATTGATATAAATGAAACAAAAGCTATCTGAGAAGTCTTGATAATCAACCAGAGAGACCTGGGCAATCAATATCTAGAACATAACAGACGCACCAGCTTCTTCTCCAACTGGTTCACTTTCAGAGCTTGTTTGGAGCTAAAAGTCTTGAGCTCCTCCAATGCTTGCATCAACTTAGTAATCATACAGGAAATAGATCAGAACATAAGCAAATAAGGATATGAAAATTGTATAAGAAACCAGAGATGTGTAATGCATAAAGCATTATCAACAACCTGAGTAGTAATGGACCGACAATCATATGAGGTGCATGAACCATTAGTAGATCCAGTCTCTGGATTATTTCTCTCCTTGGACACACTATGGTTTGCAGCACCAGATACTTCAAAGGACGACTCTGAAGATGAGTCTTTTGGTGCAGAGTTTAGAGACAATTGTCGCAGTTTCTCAAATATAAGGGCTTCCTCTCCTTTCCCACCGACTACTTCTGCTACTACCGTTTCTTCCTTTAGCTGGATTTCACTAACCGAAGTGGAATAGGGATTCCCATCATTTGGGTTTCCACTAGGGTTGTGGTTCTTAATTTCGGAAGCAAGTGGTGTAAACTCCTCGTCTAATTCCCTTTTATCACTTATTGAACTAGATTCAGATAATGTTTGTTCAGCATCAAATTTCATTGCCTCAAACTCGTCTGTTTCCTCTTTATTCTTGCGTATAGGACGGTATTGACATGTAGGTCCGACCTTTGCAGAATATGGTAAGAATGAGGCACCTGGAGGGAGAGGTGAAAATGATAATAAGGCCATAAGCCTCTGTGTTTGACCATGATCTAGCTCAAAGTAGAAGTGCTTATCACTGTAGTAATTGTCTGCAATTACTGGTTTGAACTGTCCTTCAAGCAACGGTTGACATTGCTGCTTAACCTGAATTTGAACCTTGCATATAAAAAAAAAAGTACATTACTAATATGTCAAATTCCACCCCATTTTCTTGATCATCGTCAAACAAAGTCGTACACTCTGAACAGAAACAAGGTTACCTGTGCAGGATATGCTGTTCTTTCTGAGCCATCAGTCCACCCATAAGGGTCAATATTCATTTGCCCAGGGCAGGCAGCCACAAAGATCCCATACAGTTTCCTATCAGAATAGTTGAATAGGAACAGTGGCAATCCAGCATCTATGTTCTTTACGTATGCAAAATGCGTAGCTGGTAAGCCTGGTGAAATCCCAAGTAAAAATACTCTCAACGTTCAGCAAGGAGACAAAACTAGAAACCAAAGCAAAAAAAGAAAAACAAGGAAAGGGAACTGAACAATGCAAACCAACAAAACGATTTGCTTAAGAACAATTAGTAGCCAATAAATCTGAAGTTTTCAATGGCTGACCAAATAGTTGCTTCTGTAAGCATTCTGCCATGGTGTGCTTTGTGCAGCCGAAGATCACACCGCCAAGACTACTCTTAGGCAAGTTTCTAGTATACGCACCGCCCGCGGCTGAATGTGCATGGTTTGGTGGTACATATGTGTGCATCCAATACTGCCTTTTCTTCCCTGTCGCCATCCTGCAAGAGCAAACAAGAAGCGAAGGAAAAAAGGAAACTCAATTAAACAAACCTCCCATGCTCATTAAGCGAACCCTAGGGAGCGAATCAATCGCCATCACTGAACCTCAAGAAAATCCGTTCCTAACTCCGATCACACAATCCGTCCAAACTGCGGCCGAGCACAAGAAACTAAACCCCTAAAACTATGAAAGCCGAAGAAAAACCGAAGAAGTCGAGGTTCAAGTTTCCAGCATTTCGATCACAAGCCAAGAACCGAAGCAAACGCCGGTGGTCGATTCTGGTGAAGGGAACGCATAATAGACCGACAGATGAAGGAGACGAACACCAGTGAAGAGGCACACTGAGAGAGAAAAGGGAGAATAGAAGAGAATCGTACACTGGTGAGCGATAAACAAAGGAACAGTTCTTTCTTTCAGTTGATCGGCGGCGAACGAGCGAGTGCGTGAATGAGTGAGCGAGCGAGCGAGAGGAGGAATTCGGGAAAGCGCTGTCTGTGTTAACGGAAGCAGAAGCAGGAACCGAGAGAGAAAATGGTGGGAGGAGCTCCGAAAAAAGGGAAGCGCGAAATGGGTCGAATGTTTGTCAGACACGAGTCCAACAACGGAGACCTGTCCTCAACTCTCACGCCGCGCGCATTTACCTCACGAGTCACGACTTGCAGCCTCCGGAGTCCGGACTCGAGCTCGAAAGTAGCGGGCATTGCCTTATTGGGCCCACTGCCCATGGTTCAAGAGTGGCTATAAGGTCGAGTTCGGTTAAATTGACCCAAATTGATCCGGTCTCAGTCTAGTTTTTTCGGGAATATAAGGACCAAACTCCAAAGATTGGATTGGATACAGTCCACTTTTGATCCAGTCCAATCTTGACCCAGTCAGGTCCCAATTCGGTCTTGATTTTAGATTGAGCTTGTGGGGATTTGAGTGGCCTGAGGACTCAAAAGGTGAGGAGTTGGTTAAATTTTGGGTGTTCTCTCTTATCCGGTTTTCGACCCGGTACCAAACAGTTTTTTACTTAAATCTAAACTCGAAAATTGGATTGTATTGTTTGCTATCCGGTTTCGGGTAAAACCAAATAGCCCGGACCAAATAGTCTGCCCTACTCAAGATACAATGCATAACCATGGATTATGCACTATATTTGGACCCTTCATTCAGAATATTCATATCTAAAAGCGGAGAATTAAAAACATTTTTATTTTCCCTTGTTTTCTTAATCGATTCATATCTTCTTCTTTTTAACTCGGATTTCAATTTTTTTCACAGATGGAACGATTCGTTGTGCTCTACTAAATGAGATCCATTTTCAATATTTTTTGAGAAAGAAATTTCTTGCCTCTTGGTACCAACTGCATACCATATGGTATCTTCTTCGTTTTTAATTCGTTTCTGAAAAATTTTGCACAGAAGAAACGAGTTCATCATTATCTATTGGATCTACAAATTTCTGGGTGAACAAAATACATGACCAAAAAATACCACACAATACCACCCTGGTACGAGGTGGTATCTTGTGGTACACAATGTTAAAACTCATAAATGACAGTTAATATACTTCTACTATAATGTATTTAATCATCCTACAGTCTTGGTTTGCTCATACCACCATGGTACGCTTTTCATACCATAGGTATGCTCTTATTTCAATATCAGTCAATACCATATGGTATAGACTCGTAAAAAATGGATCATTTTTTATTTTCAAAAAATATATCAAAGTGGATATCATTTTGAATAGCACAATTAATCTGATCTAACTGTGCAAAAAAAATAAATTTCGACTTAAAACGAGTGAGAAATCGTCCGTTAAAAATTAAGGGGGGAAATTAAAGGCTTTTTCGGGAGAGAGAATGGGCATTGATGTCAGTGGCGGACCTAGTAAAGGGCAGGGTGTGTCGTCCGACACACCCTCGCCCGAAAATTTTGTGCAGTACCTATATATTTTTGGTACATTTTTTTAATTCGGGACTTCCGACACACCTTAAATAATTGTGAGCGACACGCCTTCATTATACGAGAATGATTTTTTTGTTATAAAGTTATTTATCTTAATTAGTAATACACAATAATAAGTAAATTCAAATAAGTATGCTTGTTTTAGAGTAAACCACACCACAACCTAGGGATGGCAATATGACGGGTTTACCTAAACCAACCTCATCCCTATTTCCAAATATTCAAACTCATATTCGTCTCATACCCATGCAGTGGAAGGTCTTACAAACTCATTCTCATACCCGCGGTTTTCGGATACCCATGGGTAATATCGCCCCAACAACTACTCACCATTAATAAAAGCAAGGTTCTAAAAGGCGCTCGAGGTAAGGCAGACGCTCGGCTCTTGACTTGCGTCTTGTCCGATTAGGCGTAGCCTAGGCGCGCCTAGGCGTTTAGAGCATAAATGGAAAAATTCTCAAAAATTTCCTATTTTCTGGAATAATTCATATAAATGCTTCTCCACGCCCAACGAAATGCGCCAAGAAAGTGCGACTTTCTCTTTTATATTTTTGAAGCTTATATTGTAACTCCTAATGATCCAAGTGCATATAAAATAGGGGTGGGCGTTTGGTCGGTTCGGTTTGAACCGAACTGGTATATCCCAATTTTCCGAACCATAGCATCCCACAACCGAATTCGAACCGAGCTATAATTCGGTTCGGTTTGGCCGAACCGAATTATAGGTCGGTTCGGTTTTATACTACAAACCGAAAATGTATGCACTGTCCATTTTTGTGCTTTTGTTCTGTCTTCTGGTGGCAGGCTCGCAGAACGGCAGAAGAGTCAGTGGCGGCTGGGGAGACTCGCGACGGCGGGAGCCTGCCTGGGTGGGAGGGACTGTCCGAGGCGGCGATCTGGTCGTCGACGAGGTCAGGGCCGGGACGGAGAGACAGCGAAAACGACGCAGCCTCGGAGCCGCAGGTCGTGGCTCTCGGCGTCGGGCTCGGGTTGTCGGGCAGATGACAGTGAAGTGGAGGTCTGGAGGTCGGAGGAAGAGGAGTAATCGTCGGCTCGCCGCCTTCTTCCTTCCTTCCCAGCTTCCCTAGTTCCATTTCCCTTTGCGCCGCGATCTCGGAATCATCTTACTCTAGGGTTAGCTAAGTAGGCGATTTGGATGTTGGACGAAGAGGTAGAGGGCTTGAGGCCTGAGCAGTGAGCAGCAGCCAACAGACTGAGTGAGCTGAAAAAGAGGCCCAATCCCATTTGTGGGTCGGAGTGGCCTGGAAAATAAGGTTGGGCTGAGTATTGGGCTAGGGCCCGCGGGGCTGGGCATTGGGTTGGTTGGGCAGTTCAGTATTTCGGAATTCGGCCGGTAGGTTCGGTATTTTGGTTCGGTTCAAACGTGTCTGGTTCCCGAAATTCACCATATCCATTTCCGAATTTTGAATCTAATTGTATATATTTCGGTTTCGGTCGGTTTTTGTTCGGTTCGGATTAACCGAACCTAATGTCCACCCCTAATATAAAATTAGCAATGCGTAGTTCTTAACAGTAAACACTTAACAAGTTAACATAACAAATAACAAGCAAATAGTGACCAATCATCTGCTAATAGGTGCTTATAAAGGCAAGAAGCTTGTGCTACGTACCGAGGAGAAGGAAGGAGCAGCAATTGACGAGTTTCGACTTTATTTCCCACTATAGCAGCGGAGCGGTGTGAAGGCGAGAAGAGTGATCGATGACTTTCTCTGGCGGCGGCAGAGAGAAGCAAATGGGGCGAGAGCTAGGGCGGCAGGCGGTAGCAGATAGCGCGAGAGCTAGGGCGGCAGGCGGCAGAAGATGTTACTTCCCGTGTTTCTGATTTTCTAGGGCAAGAGGCAAGTTTGTGATTTTCTAGGACAAAATGAAGAGTATTGGGTTTAGCCGCCTAAGCTCGTCCAGGAACGCCCAGGCACGCCTTCTCTCCACTAGGCGCAAACTAAGCGCTATTCCTACCTACTAAGCGCTACCAGCGCCTTTTACAACGCCTATGGCCAAGTCAAGGCGATCCTCCACCGCCTAGCGCCTAATTGAGCCTAGGCGTGCGCCTAGGCGCGTCTTCTTGAACCCTGAATAAAAGAATATAGTGACAAATATGGATACTACCCACCCAAAATTATGGAACTAATACATAAGAGGATGAAATTACGGTTTGGTTGTCATCAATTGCATTTTAACACTTTATTTTTTCTTTTAATTACCATTCATTCGATTGACAAGTTACAATACACTCCTTATATTTTATGTATATAACATAATATCCTTGGTTGGCGGGTTTGGGTATGGGTATGGGGCGGGAGTGTCAAAAACCATACCCACCCCATACCCATCAACCTTTTTGGGGGGTTTTATCCATACCCGCCCCATACCAGTCAACGCAAGGATTCCCGCGTTGACTGGGTCGGAGGAGGTCGGGTATCCGCGATCATGGGTTTGGTTGTCATCCCTACCACAACCCAACAATGGAAACTCACCGTTTCCACCCCTTGACCCTTCCTTTATTGAAAATAAAAAACTCACCCTTATCCCGTTTTAGTTTTTAATTACTGAGAGCCACTACCACATCTCCCTTTTCTTTTTACCCTTTAGTTTTACTTGCTTTTGGAAGTTGGTGTTGACTTTACATGTTGCAATTGAAAGTTGCGAAAGATTTCAGCTATGAAGATAATCAAGAATGAACTTTGAAATCGGTTGAGTGACCAATTTATGAATCATTGTTTAGTTGTGTATATGGAAAAGGATTTGCTTCGCAACATAAGCAATGAATGTATTTACAGGCATTTCTAGTAAACATGAACTTTATGAATTAATTTCTAGTAAATTCTATTTAATTTCTATTAATTTTTTAATTATTATATTATTTTATCGGCGACACACCTCTCCGACAATTCTGGGTCCGCCACTGAATGATGTGACGGATTCTGATTAAATTATGCATAATTATTAACCACAAGTTTATTGACCGGATCCGCTTCCTATATATGTCTCGACGAGCCAACGCAGGCAGAAGTTATGTACCATCCACAGTTCACTACTTAAATTTATCTGGACTTGGCTTGAATTTTAGGTTTGCGAAGTCGATTCACGAGTTGAATTACTCGACATTTTATATCCTCATCTATGCAAATTTTATTTAAAAGGTGAATTGCAAGTTTCTTCATATTAGCCTTACTAATTTGTTTCATATTTGTTATAATCGTGTAGATCTCTAGATATAAATCAATAATTGATAATCAAAAGGTCAGAAGTGGGATAACGAACCGCAAATGAATATTCTTGATCAGTTGGTCCTCCTGTAGTCTTTACAAAAATAGTTTCACACTATAAATTTTAGCGAAGTACTTAAAAAAAGAGTTGAGTGTTTGACTACCAAACCATTATAAATACTTTTTAATATAAGAGATCATATCAAATGACGAAAATAGATTTCTAATATAAAATATAAATAAAAAATAAAAATGGATCTCGTCAGAATTCTTTTACAATAAGTAATATTATTTATAGTTTATTTTAGCTTTTAAATGATATAAATGAAAAGAATAATATATTTTGGAAAAAATAATAAAAATCATGATGATCTTGTAATTTCAAAACAGTTTTTCGCTGAATCTCCTAATCGAAATTTCTATTTTCATGTTATAACATCACTTTTCAACTTTTCGAAAAGTTGGGCTTATAAAGATAATTGGTCCGACTTCAACATTATAAGCATAAAAACACTTGCAAAAGTCGAGCCAGCCAAACATAACATCTAAGCATTTTATTTCAATTATTAAAGTCTTTATTGCCAACTCAAAAGATGTTTATATTAATGAAAATTAAGGTACATACAAACTCGATAGTTATAAGCAAGACATGACTTTATAAGCGTCCATACTCCATGGTTAAACATTATTTGACACTCAAGACATATATAATCCTTTAGAATGAATATCAACCTATATGTATCTCATTTTCTCCAACTCCTTGCCTTGACTTGATGAACACTTGCAACGGTTCAAGTTTCTTGCTTGTGAGCGACATGGTGTCCACTTTGTCTTCCTCGCCTTCCTTTATCCTCCACGCAAATTGCTGCACCATCCTCCCAATCGACGTGCAAGCAATTAGCATTGCTTGGAGGGCTCCCGCACAAGCCCTCTTCCCCATCCCAAATGCCATTGTTTTGTGCAACTCCATGGGGTCCGATTTGCCGTTAAGAAACCTTTCCGGCGACCACTCTTCGGGTCTCTCCCATTTCTCGCTGTCCATGTTGCATCCGTATACGTTGACAGCTATCTGCAAAATTGAAGCACTTGGAATGTTTTAGTTTCTTCTACGTCAAAACTGATATATATATAGTTCAGGCTATCGTACATTAGACTACAGTATGTCGTTTGAGTTTTGCTATTTAGATCATGAATTAACCAAAAGTTTTGAGCATGATACTATACCTTAACCACTAATAGATAACCCCCAGTCCTTAGTTTTCTATCCCAAATCATGAGATTCGTTTAATCGTAAAATGAAAATCAACAATAATTTCGTCGAATCAGAACCGTTGATTTTCATTTCAAGATTAAATGAATATGATGCTTTGGGTTAGTGAATTGCGGACTAGAGTTCACCCATAGGGGTTAGGGTATAATATCATGCCCCAAACTCCGATTAATTCATTGTCTAAATAGCAAAACTCAACGGACGTACGGTAGACTAGAGTACGTCCGGGCGTACGACTAGCCTTTGCCATATATATATATGGATGTGGTTTCGTCTCTCAATGACCCTTACCTCAGTTCCGGCGGGGATATGATACCCTCCTAACTCTGTGTCTACACCTACATGGCGAAAAGGAAGGATAGGGACAGCACTATGCCTTCTGAGGGTCTCATGGAAAACGGCACTCAGATATGGAATTTTGGACAAGTGTTGCTCTGTGAGTTTCTCGGACCCACAGACGGTCTGGATTTCCCGAAAAAGTCTTTCCTGAAGATCGGGATTCTTGGCAAGTTCATACATAGCCCACTCCGAAGTCACTAACGTCGTATCAGAGGTCTCAACGATGGTCTCCCAAATCAACACTAACATCTGGAGATCTGTCAAGTTCTTGGCTTCCGATAGCAGGTAATCAAGGTAACAATCGATCACCTGAGAGATCGAGAAGTGAAGACTACATGTTGTCAGTATTGAAAGTAGCTCATAATCAGAAGAACATTTTTATTATTATTATATGGTGCATGAATTTTGTACGCACTTTGCCAGACGCAATTCGTTGCTTCTGCTCCTTAATCAGTGCATTCATCACTGTCTGCTTCCGGTGATGCGTATGCACGACCTTGTCCTCGTAGCCATGGTTGGGGATCCAGCTGAGGTAAGGGAAGAAATCTCTCCAGTCGACCTCTATGGCACCTTCCATTGGATCCAACACCAGAATTCTAAAGATTTCTTCCTTGGAGAAAGTAGCGCCTAGCTCCTCAACATATATGCACTCCACATCTTTCCCAATTCCCTGCAGGATTCCAACAACGTTATAGCCCTGCCCTTGGAGTTGGTGGTGAGATTAATTTTTCGGACTGAAAAAAGGAAAGCACAAAAGAAATGGTGACATAACTTGTTTCATAGACAGACCGAAGAGTTCAGACTCAAATGTCTTCCTGAAATCCAACGCTTGTTCAGGATGCGATTTGGTGTGAACCGACAACCGGGCGGATAAATTGTCCACCATTACATCTCTGTTGGAGATATGTCGTTTCTGCCAAGAAAATAGTAATATCCAAAAACTCTATTTTCATGCCTTAAAAACAAAATATGGAAAATTTAAACATTGTATTGTATGACTGCAATGTATTAGCTAGGGTTCATTAAACCTGGGCGCTTGGGCTCAACATATTAGTGAGAAGGTGGCGTTTCACCATCTTGTAGTAGTCATCATAATCAGCCAGAGCGACCATGGTTTTGTCCATACTTAATACGGAAAGAGACTTGGGCAACTTCCTTGTAGGCATGGATGAGAATTTGGTCACCATAGCCTGAAACAAAACTGAAGCAAGGCTTGGCGATTCTTCCAATAATTTAGATATCTAATTTGCCTCTTTTCCCCCAAGATTTATTGAGTTGAGGCAGGTTGAATTTCTTTCAGCGTACCCTTACCATTAGAACAATCTTTTCATTAAAGCACTAATTTAACAATCCCCATAATGTAACTAAAACCAAAACACTACAGGATTGTTTGAATGAATCAATTGGAAAATCAGAAGCATAACTTTTCAATTTATGATACAAAATTTGTCAGTAAAATCTTTTTCCATCATCCGACAATGATTGAATATTCTGATATACCATCAAGCATAGACGGGTTGGATCCAGTCAATTTCAACAAATATACCATGTAGTTCTAACAATATCCATCGCCCATTTTAGCACAATTCAGCAGATACTAGTGAGTAGTGACCTCCAGGAAGCAGTTCAATAATCATAGTAGAGTTGGCAAATCCCCCTTGAACTCAAACCAGAAATTGTTGTTAAATTTTTTTTTTTTTTTGGAAGCAATTCAATAATAATAGTAGAGTTGGCAAATCCCCTTGAAGTCAAACAAAAATTATTGATAATTTTTTTTGGCAACTAGTACAGCGTAGTTTAGTATATGTAAGGGCACTCTGGTCTTTATGATATACAAAATGACATTTATTTTAGATTCATTTTTTGGGAATTTTTTTTTTGGACCACCCTTACAATCCTCTGTCTTCATGTACCTCTCTCATTTTAACACGTTTTTTAAAATTTTTGCAAAGAAGAAACGAGTTTATAGTGATTTATAAAATGATTATAGTCCTCTATATTTCGACGAAAATTTCGATGACCAATTATACCGCTAACTAACATCTATCATCATCTACCACTATTATAGAGAGCAGTGATAGGAATATGCTAACTAACATCTATCATCATCTACCACTATTATAGAGAGTGGTATAATTGGTCATAGAAATTTTGATACATTTTCATACCCGTAAGTATAATCTGTACCACTAAGCTATATTCCATGATATACTATGGTAAAAAAATACTTCAATTTACGTTATACTATTTTTTTACTCCATATTATGTAAAAATAGATGTTATTTCATAAAACATAACTAATATGATTATTCTGGGTAAGAAAATTTTAAAATTCGAGTAAGAACAAACGAGTTATGGCATGTAACATTTTAATTAGGAATAATTATGCAGGAGTGAATGATGGAGGCCACTTTGTACAAGAGTTTTTTTTTTTTTTTTGTGAGACACTTTTATATTGAACCATGTAAAACTGTTTAGTTCGTTAATAACCATCCAAACAATGAATCAAATCGCTATTTTAACTGATTTAGTGATTCTAGTGGGTCAACCGTTTGATTTTATAACAATGCGTCAATGCCTAAGACAATTGACAAGGAAACAGAGTCGAGTCGGTTCAACCCGTGCTCCAAATAAAAGGACGGGCAGGAAACCCGAGTCCGACTATACCTCTTTCGCGAGATCAGTGGTATTCACAACGATGACGGAGGAAGAACCCGTTTTGATGGAGTACATTGGGCCGTAAGTCTCTACCCAATTTGCGAACGTTTTGTGCGGTTTCTTCTCCGTCAGCTGCAGCAAGTTCCCGATCACCGGCAGCCCCGGCACCGCTGAAACGCCGACCGATCAATTCCAACCCATCGCCAAAAAGAAAACAACGACGAAAAGGAGAAGAGAGAAATCTCAATCAAAGCAAACTTAGACAAGTAGAGAATTAAGGCGCGTGCCCACAATACCTGGGACTAGCCGGAGATTGCAGTTAGCCTTCTCTTTATTGACCACCAACTTTTTCATGAAATAGACGGAGGAAACCAGTGAAATAACGGCGACAGCTGCCGGAGTGGCGTATCCCGCCTGTTGGAGACCGGCCGTGAGGGAAGCTGGCTCCATTTTGCTTAGCGGGTTTGGAAGGAAAATGAACTATCTAGCTAGTTCTAGTTTGCAGGATGGCTCTGTTTTCGGCAAAGCATGTTGAGCGGTTTTTACTTTTTATAGACAGGACATGTGGCGAAATAAGGTTTTTTATTTTTATTTTTTCCATTTCATTTAAGATGCGATTGTTATAAGAATCGAACCGGATGAATGGTTGACGTAAACTAATATCATTCTACTTCAATCACTAAGTTAATTATGCTTTCTTTTTCAGGCTTCTTTGTCAGTTTTAAGTGGTCCAATACGGATTGCCACCTTGATTACTAGTTTGACTTTAATAAAAAAAAATTCTTTTGTGAGATAGTTTGGATGTTTTCTTATAACTTTTTGGTGGTAAATGATATGGATTTGAAATGATTTAGTGTTAGTGATAAATTCACTCTAAGTTAGTGTATTATATGTCTTTGAAGTTACAATGCATGAAATGTTCTATTTATAACCAACTCTTTTATAACGATTAAACATTTAACCAACAACCACTAATTTGAGAGTTTTAGCATCCGATTGTGAAAACAGAGCAGAGCTGATTTCCATTAATATTATGTTAAATTTTTAATTGCCGCACTGCAAGTTTCTTGTATTTATGTCATTTGTTTTGGAACAATTCCAACCCGAGTTGCTACCTCTGTTTGCAATGCGGGTTGTACGTGGTCATTAGGCCGGCCGGCCGGCCAAGACTTGTGTTTTGTACTGGCCAGCTAGAACTAGTGTCGTTTCTACCTTATTATTTATTGATGATAGTGATCAACGAGTAGGTATGTAGTTAATATAATTTTTCCTTTTCTAAATAGACTAATGTAGTAGCTCGGTGGGTGAGACAGCTACGAAACGATGGTGACAAGTGACAATCTAACGATCATGATGTTAACTAATAAATAAATAGTTATTACTGCCGGCGAACTACACGGCATATATGCGCGCCGGCAGGGGAACCATCGAGGGAGGATTGACACTTGGAAGTTTGCATGACAGACGGGCAGTAGTACTCAAACTTCACTCCAAAATTGTCATCTCGCTGATACAAAAATGAAAAAACCTTAATGCTAGAAAACAAAAATTATGATTGTCTTTTTCAAAACTATAATTTGTGTTAGTTGATTCAATCCTATCTAACATTATCAAATTATAATTCATGATTGACTGGTTATAGTTATAATAATACATTTTAATTTGTTAATTAATATGCGGTACTAGTTTTTGGTTAATATTCTAAGTATATTCATCATTAACTCTCATTTGTGTTCTGAAATCCCTATTTATGTTATAAAATGAAAAAAAAATCTTTTTAGTGGATTAAGGATGACTACTGAAAATAATTTCTGGCAAAATAAAAAATTGAAGAGTTAATAAATAATTTTATTTCAAAGTATTGTTTAAATAATGAAGCAATGACTTTAAATAACGAATCAAAACCATGATGCTAGAATAAAAAAATCATGATTGTATTTATAAAAACTATCGACGCCAAATTTATGACCGTATCGAAACTATCGACGGTGGTAGTCGGAAAAACTGAACTGGTCAGACAACTGTCATTGGACCGTCTAGCCTGCAGCCCTGCACCACAAACCAACGAGGAGAACAACTAGTTCACCACTCACTGAAGTCAGAGATTAGAGAACAACCCAACCACCACCGTCTACAAATGGAGAAATGCCAGATCCCCGATGTCGGAGGATGAAGAGAGGTCCGTTCGTCGGTGTTGAACGGTCCTGAGACGCCCGCGATCAGACCGTTGTTCAGGCTCCGACACCTGTCATCGGCGATTTATTTTAGTATTTAAATTGGTTTTATTTATTTGATCTTTATTTTTTAGAGTTAATTAGCTTTCGGTGTTTGGTGTTAATTATGTTCAGAGTTAAGGAATTTATATTTTTTAGGGTTAATAGCATTTTGTACCCCTCTATTATTATATATTAATAAACGTACCCCTCTATTTATTTTGGCACAAGCATACCTCTCTAGTATTAAAAACATAACAAATATACACTTCAGTCTAATTTTCTATTAAATGATCGATTAATGGGTTGTAAATGACGCAATTGCCTCTCATTAAGTACTAAAAACTCTTAATTTCTTTTTTAATTTTTTAATTTCCCTAAAAATTAAAAGCTACGGATGCTTTAATCCCTTCTAACCCAACAAAACCTTCCTTCTTCCTCTCTTCTCCCTGACTCCCCCATATAAGAGAAATCTGGTTATCAACTTCGCCATCGGTGGAGTTTGAGGTCTTAAAACTCTTTTTAGATTCTGAAGAGTTCGCTCGATTTCTGTATCAAGAGGTAATATCTCCAAAGAATCCCTCTTCGCATACAAAGGTGATACAAAACACAACCTCAACAACTGATATTTGGGACGAGATTTAATGTTATCCTCTATATATAAGTTATAGGAATTTAATTAAGTATCAAACAATAATTAAAATGTGGAATTTGGCCTCTGTTAGTCACACAAAGTTTTTTTGCTTCTTATTTGTATGAGATGAGGTCGAATGACTTTATGACTGTGTAGCTGGAGAAAAATGAAATGTACTATTGCAAGATTATGATGGCTTTTGAGGTGGTTAGGTCTTTATAGGCTCTCGAATCTAAAGCAAGAAGAAGAGACGATGGGATAGTTGAATATGGTCTGTGATGTTCCATGTTGTAGGGTTTTGTGATAAGTAAAAGGATGATATGACAATGTAGCTACGTAGAGAAATTGTTGAAAACAACATCATTTTGAAGTGGCTCGTTGCTCAAATGAATTGGTTAAAGCGGTCGGATTTCCCAATTTGATTGGGTTTTCCTGGGATTGATCGAGCCCCCAATAGACAACTAAATAGTCCTTTAGTACCCGCTGAGATACTCAGGTTTAGGTACAATTGGTTCGACTAGCTGAGTCAAACTCCAATTGACTATCATGGTTAAGACTCTTTTATGTATTTGAAGATACATTAGTTCAATTCCCAATACTTGTCTATTTTTTATACAAAATAATGATAAATAATGGCGAAGGCAAAGTCATTCATACTTTTGCTCTCGTTGTAGGAATTTTGAAATGTGACCGCAATTTTATCATGCTAGTAATATATATTGTGTAGAGTGTATAGGTAAATATGTCCTTCCTCTACAAATTTATTTTAATACATAAAAAGATGAAATAAATCAACATATTAAACTCAACCTCGTCTAATGATTGTTGGATCCAATCATGCATGTCGAATTAGGAAGATGTTTAGAACTTAACTGTTAGCCGAGCTAAAAAGTTCAAAGAATCCGTCCCCATATAGTTTGTAGAAAGATATGAATATGATTGCCTCATAGTAGTTCTATAAACTAATACTAATGTACGAGTTCAACATCGCTTATACAAATTTGATATTGAAATTCGATATGTAATATTGAACCAATAATATTTGGTGTATGATTTTAAAGTTATCCTCTATTTATAAGATAAATAGAAATTTAAATTAAGTATCAAATATAATTAAAATATGAAAATTGAAGTATCAAAACATGAATCAGTACCGAGCGAAGATTTAGCGACCTTAGCTAACCATTGAAAAGTTCTGTGATTTTTTAATTTTAGCTTCATGTATACTTTTTATTTAAAATGATACAACTAATCTATGTAGTTTGATTGGTTAAGATGCTTGTCACTGTTTAAAATGACTCTGCTTCAAATTCTAGTATGCTTTTCTTTTTATTAGGAATAAATAAGAAATAAATTGATCATGGTGAAGACAAAAATACCCTTCCTATTTTCACTCTCGTTGCAGAAAAAATTGAATAAGGGTGAAAGTTACCATAACAAGCTATTAATATACTTGTAGACTAATTTAGAAGTGAATTTTATTGCTAATCATAAATAATTTCAAATATCCATATCTATCTACTATAAAAAAAAAGTTCTAACACAGAATTTAAACTATCACACAAAAGCTAGTTTGTCCTTGGACATGCAATTAGTACTTTTCAAACTAGTATTGACACGTCTCTCCTTCATTAAATATGGCTTGTATGACTTGTTCTCTCTATTACATCTGTTGCAATACATATAAAATACATATCGAGCCTTCACTTATGATGTGTCCCATGTGGCTTCCTCCAACCCTTCGTTAGAATGGAACCATGAAATTTTGGGATGTTTTTGCCCCGTCACAGCATCGTGGCAATTGGAGTATCAAACATCATTAGGGAAATAATATGTGTAATCATATGTACTTTCAAACTCGTAAGCCATATCTACCTACAATTACGATTGAACTAACTCGTTAAAGACATTCTAAACTAACGTAAATACAAAAACCCAGAACCCTAACATCATTTAACTAATATAAATTAGAATACATCACAACCACACAATAATTTAATTAGAACAAAACCCAACGCAACAAATTAATTAACTCTACAATAAAAAATGCCAAACTATTAGCAAAAGTAGAAACTATGATAGTTTACCAAATAGGAACCGGCTAATCCAACAAACATTATGCACATATCACACAACAACCCCTTAGAGCATCCATATCAATGGAATCGCAAAACTAATTTCATATTATTTTTATATTATTATTTCAAACTTTATGCAATTCAATCCGCTTTTATTTCATTGTCCCTACATCAATGCAATTTAACAAAGTTATGGATCGAGCAAACCCTAAAGCGCTACTTCTCTCATTCCATTTCACAGCTTATATAGCTGGTGAACAAGTCACAAAGAGTTTACAGAAGCCTTACAAAACAAGGAAGAAGACAAAGCTTGGAAGTAAAGCAAGTACAGCCGAAACAGGAAAAGGGTAGCCTTTAACAAGTTTGGGGACTAAGTGACATTTTGCCAGAAACGACGTCACTCCACGTGCGTTGCCTCTTCTCTCCGATGAAGGCTGGAACGGTGTCGCATTGCTTCCATTTTTGTAGATGAGGATGAAACGTTGTCGCACTGGTTCCCATTTGCAGCTGATGGTGAAACGATATCGCTGAGAATCTGCTTCTTTTTCTCTGTAAGAGAAACGTCTCTATTCAGAGCCGTTGGAGGTTCAAATGGAGCAGAGCGCGAAAATCCTTCGCGTTCCCCTAATACCCCCCCCCCCCCCCGAAAGCTGGCGGGCAAAGATTGAGGATGCCAAGCTTGGAGAGCAGGAAGGAAAACGGTGCTGGAGAGAGAGCTTTGGTGAAGAGGTCAGCTAGTTGGTGAGTGGAGGAGACATGAAGCACTTTGATGGTGCGATTGAGCAGCTTCTCGCGGACGAAGTGACAATCGAGCTCGATGTGCTTCGTCCGCTCATGAAAGTGGGGTTTTTACTATATAGATGGCAGATTGATTCTCGCAGTAGAGAGTGGCAGGCTGTGGATGAGGGATTTGGAAATCTTGAAGGAGATATAGTAGCCACTAAAGTTCACAGGTGGTGTATGCTAGAGCACGATATTCAGCCTTGCAAGAAGACCTGGAAATGGTTGTTTGCTTCTTGCTCTTCCAGGAGATGAGGGAATCACCAAGATAGACACAGTAACCCGTGACAGAGCGTCTTGTATCAACGCAACACAAGCAGCCCCGACAGAATCACTGAACGCTTTCAAATGAAGTGAAGAACTTGCGGAGGAGAACAAGCCACTAGAAGGAGAAGTCTTGAGGTAACGAAGGATTCTAACAACTGCTTTGAAGTGATCATTACTTGGATTAGCCATGTATTGACTTACTTGTTGTGTGGCATAGCTGATGTCAGGGCGAGTAGTGGTTAGGTAGATCAATTTCCCAACTAATCGCCTGTACTCTTCTGTATCAGTGTAGGGGTCTTTGTGTTCTGCTGAGAGATGAACTTTATAGTCCATAGGAGTAGTAGCAGGTCCTGAATGAAGGAGATCAACCTCTTCAAGGATTTCAAGTGTATATTTTCTTTGTGAAATATGAATGCCTTTGCTACTCCTGGCAACTTCTATGCCCAGAAAGAATTTAAGCTTGCCCAAATCTTTAATGCTGAATGTATGATGGAGGAAGGACTTAAGTTGTTGAATTTCTTCCAAATTGTTGCCTCCAATGACCAAATCGTCCACATATATCAGAATGCATGTATAGGAGGAACCAGAGGCTTTGTAGAAAAGTGAATGATCAACCTTGCTAGGAAGAGAGCCCTGTGAGTGTAACTTATCAGCAAGCTTAGTGAACCATTGATGAGATGCCTGTTTCAGGACATATATGGACTTCTTTAGGTGACAAACAGGATTTTTGAATCCAGGTGGAGGAATATAGCCAGGAGGGAGCTTCATGTAGACTTTCTTATCAAAATTCCCATGAAGGAAGGCATTGTTCACATCTAGTTGGTCAACATGCCAATTCTGAGCAGCAGTAATGGCTAGAAAAAGTCTAATGGTGGTCATTTTGACCACCGGGGCAAATGTATCTTGATAATTAACCCCTTCATGCTAACTATAGCCTTTGGAAACTAGTCTAGCTTTCTGTCTTTCCAAGCTGCTATCAGATAGATGTTTGTTTTTGGAAGCCCATTTGTTGCCAACTGGGTTTTTACCAGCAGGAAGTTCTACTATGTCCCATGTCTTGTTTGCCTCAAGGGCAGTAGTTTCAACTGCCATAACCTCATTCCATTTAGGAAACTGACAGGCTTCCTTGTAAGTTTGTGGTTCCTTGTGAGAAGAAATGCTCAACACAAAGTGTTGGTGGTTGTGTGAGATATTTGAATAATCAAGTACAGGAGCTAGGGGGTAGGTGGTACCTAGAGTCTGCTGCTGACTTGGATGACTGGTGGAAGAAAGCTGCTGAAGCAGGTTGCAATGGTAGTGTTGAAGGTGTGTAGGGGGTATTTTGGATCTGATTGATTTTCTGGTGGGAAGAAGTGGTGGAAGGGAAGGTGATGGGGGTGGTGGAGGAGAATGAGGAGGGGAATCATCATCTCCTGATTCAAAATGTAGGTCATTGAGGAAGGGTTCGGGTTCTGGATTGGGTGAGTTATGGGAAGGGGGTTGATAGGTAGGACTAGAATCATCATAGAGGGCTGGATCAATGGGGTTGGTGACACGCTATGACACAACACCTAACAATGGCCAAGTGTAACCAATGAAAGGGACTGCAGTATAGTGGCACAAGTAATAAATATCGAATCCACGGGTCTCTAGAGTTACTATTACTCAGCTTCAGTTCATTATCTAGCAAACTAGATTAAGGATTGATTTACTAAACTACTATACTAACTACTCTACTAATTACAAGTTGGGAACTCACTTATGTATGATTCCCTCTAGCTCCTCAATTAGGTCCAAGTTGCAATTACCTTTGGTTGATCTACTGTTGATTAAACTGCGGAAGATCCTAAATTAGCTTGGAATCTCTTAAGCTGACAAATCCCTCTTAGACAGAATACCCGGCAAGCGACTAGCCTTCACCGGGATAGACTGCTAAGGCGATTCACACAGATCTCCACTACTGGAATGAATTCCAGTACAAAGCAGTGAATTGATTGACTCTCGCACAACCAATTCACCACTATCAATCAAGGAAGCTCTCTTAACCTAATCAGATTCTATCTATCATAGGTTAAAGCAGAAATCAAGAAAATTTGATCAAGATTCAATTGACTCAATAAGTCATGCCTCAATCGATTATAATCAAACAATATAACATCCAAAACTTCATACAAGAAAGATCCTAACACATGGAACTAGGGTTCCTCAAAATCTAAGTGAAGGGAAGTTACTCCATAGAGAAGAGAGAGACTGCAGAAATCTAATCTAGATCTTCAATCTCCATCTCCAAGCTTGATTCCCGAGCTTCAATGGTGAAGAAATCCTCCAAAATAGTTCCAAGAATGTTCCCAAGTCGCTCTCTCTCTAGGGTTCGTCCCTCGGGTGTTTGGGAACCAAAACCCAGCTCTCCTTCTCCTTTGGCTCGAAATTTGGCTTAAAACCAAAGATTTCCGACTCACACGGCCAGGCCACATGGCTGTGTGACTTTCCCAGCTGCCCGTGTGAGTGTCCAAACGGGGCGTTTTGATTAGTGGGCAACCAGGCAAGCTGCATGGGCAGAGGCCACACGGCCGTGTGGCTCCCCAGGCTGCCCGTGTGGCTTTTACCGAGCCTTCACACGACCACAAGGAGCCTCTACACATTCGTGTGAGGTGCAATGGTGCCCGTGTGGCTTCCCAGCTTCTCGCCAAACGTCCAATCTTCGTCCAATCGACCCCGAACTCGTTCCCAGGCCTTCATTCATGTGCTAGGACCTGAAATATCACAAACACGAACAACCTAGCATGAAATCGGCCTAAAATGCGGGAATCAACATCTCAAACGGCTCAAGAATAGGGGTAAAAACATGTGTAATTATTGGTCTATCAAACTCCCCCACACTTAACCGTTTGCTTGTCCCCAAGCAAACCTAACTCAAACCAATGCAACTCTCCAGACCTCTATAACAACATGCAACCCCGATCGTCGGCAGAGGATTTTCTAGATCATTTAGCAACTTACGAGGTCAACTGGTCTTCTAAGACGCCTCCTATCTTTCTCAATGCGAGTACTAGAACAACACTAGTCTCCAACCAATAAGAAGCTAGGGTTGTGATAACTTTTTATTAGATGAATTGACCTAGTGTAAAATCAAAGCAGGGGTATAATTGTCATTGAAAAATATGTTTAAAAAATAAAAAAATATTTTTTTTATTTTCGGCCCAAAATTTTGGTCGCCGGAATTCTGCCACCTGTCGCCGGAATATGGTCACCGGAATATGCTTTTTTGTCGCCGGAATATGCTATTTTGGCATTGGAATATGCTCACCGTCGCCAGAATATGCTCACCGTGGTCAGAATATGCTTACCGGCGTCGAAATCTAGTCATCGGGGCCGAAATATGCCTATAGGCGCCGGAATCTACTCACTGACGGTCATCGGAGTTTGGTCAACGAACTTCTTGACCGGTCAACAATCTTCGTTGACCAGTCAACGGCCAACGACCACCGGATGTTATGGTCTGCATTGTGAGATTTATGATTTGGTTTCTCATATTTTTGTATGCCTTTTGTGGTTTGCTTTATCGTGTTTGTGGTTTGGATTAAGAAGTTTCTGGTTTGCTTTATCGTGTTTGTGATTTGTATTGAGAAGTTTGTGGTTTGCTTTCAAAAATTTTGCGATTTGCATTGAGGGGTTTCTGGTTTGTTTTAATATATTTTGTGGTCTGCATTAGGACGTTTATGGTTTGCTTTTTTGTGGTTTGATTTACTGTGTTTGTGGTTTGCATTAGGAGGTTTCTGGTGTGCTTTCGCAAATGTTGTGGTTTGCTTTGTGGGTTTTTTTTTGTTTGTTTTAGGGGATTTCTGGTATGCATTAGGAGGTTTCTGTTTTGCATTAAGAAGTTTCTGGTTTGTTTTATCGCATTTTGTGGTTTGCATTAGGAGGTTTCTGTTTTGTTTTAATATATTCGTGGTCTGCATTAAGACGTTTTTTGTTTGCTTTACCGTGTTTGTGGTTTGCATTAGGGGATTTCTGGTTTGTTTTTTTGTGGTTTACTTTACGGCGTTTGTGGTTTGCATTAGGAGGTTCCTGGTGTGCTTTCGCAAAATTTTTGGTTTGCTTTGTGACTTTTGTGGTTTGTTTTAGGGGATTTTTGGTATGCATAATAAGGTTTTTGGTACTTTTTTTTGTTTGGTTTACCGTATTTGTGGACTGCATTAGAAGGTTTCTGATGTAATTATGAGATACTTGTGTTGTACATACCAATAAATTCCCAATACATAGTATAAACACAATAACCCGTAAGAAAAATCGAAAAGCACGATCCTCACGAACGTTGTTGTCAACTTCGATAATCTTGGATCCAGCCAAGAGTTGCATCACCAGTACAATCATCAATTAAGGCAAACCTAGTACTTGAACGACATGAAAATCAAAGTACAATGCTTTCTAATCTAAATATGTAAAACTCCACCGTGACTTTACTATGTTTTCATCATCTCGCGATAGAGGCAGGGCAACTCCATCGCGATAAAGAACAACACTAAAATCTCCGGCAATGCTATTAGTATCAGCCACCTTTATCTCTTCCTTCCTCTCCCATCGGATTCATCCGCCGCCCGGCGAATCTCGTCCTCCATCTCCTGAAAGCTGCTACTCATCACTCTGTTCCAGTATTCCCCGGTTGCGCTGCTACGACGACCATCAACCTCCTCCTCCTTCTTCGTCTTCGTCTTCTCCTCGTGCGGAGGATCCAGATTCAATCCACTCTCCGCCGCTTCATTTACCACCAACGGACCTCCCCAAGCTTTTCCAGGTTCACTCCTCTTTCCCTCTCCCCTACTCTGGGGAACGATTCTCAATTTACGAATCCCCTTTCAGCGCACTGAATCTTCTTCCTGTTGATGTGGTCTCCGCCGCCGCCGGATTCACCCTTCATAGGACGCGGCTCGTTAATTGACCCGCTCCAAGAAATCACTATGTGTGTTGTGAAGAAGAAGCGGAGGAGAAGCTAATGGTGGCGGAAGAGAAGCTGATGGCGGCGGAGGAGATCGAGGTCTGGTAGGCGAAGAGATCTCCTATTGCAACTCCTCGGAAGAGCGTCGCTTGTGCCGGCGTCGGAGGGAAGAAAACGATCGGCTGCAGAATACGTTTGGGATCTAAAGAATTGGGGATTGGAGGAGAAGGATAAACACGCTTTTTATTGTCTTTTTTAATTCTAATTTTGTTAGTTTTCTTGTAAGTTTACCCTTATACCCTTGTTGTTACCGTAACAACATAATGGTTGTTGTTATTCTATCCGGGCCCCTCTAAATTTAAAACCGAAAGCTAGCTAGCTAGCCTTGACTCTTTGATCAGCAAAAGACATTCATGGTTTCTGTATTCTAGTCTAGCATTCAGTTTTTGACTTGGCCACTACGTAGTCGATAGAGAAGTAGTCTTGGCCGGCCGGCCGGCCGGCATAATGACCACAAACCCCGCATTGCAAACCCAAGACAATTGGAGTGTGACAATTGAAATGAAAATTTAGCATCATGATATTAATGTGGATCTCATCAGTATATATATATATATATATGTATAATCCATTTGCAGCATTAATTAGCTCTAGCTAGGCAGCATAATAAGTAAAAAATTATTATTATATTATACATCCATCCAAATTAAACTCGATTGAGGCCCGGCCGGTCCACAATGGCTCTGCAGCAGGCAATGGTGGGGACAGCAGCAAAAGAGAAGATTGAGAAACTGTTTGAGAAAGGCGATGATCATCGTGTTTCAGCCTCGGCGTACGACACCGCATGGGTGGCAATGGTTCCATCTCCCAACAACAAGCCGTCGTCTCCGCAGTTCCCTGGGTGCCTCAACTGGATACTCCACAACCAGCACAAGGACGGCTCTTGGGGGATTCACCCTAATTTGCTCCGGAACCGGAAGGACGCACTCTCCTCCACTTTAGCTTGCGTCCTCGCCCTCAAGCGCTGGGGCATTGGTAACCAACATGTCCACAATGGTACGTCTCGTACGTAATCATTATTAATTGGATTGGATTAATCATGCATTGTGATAATTAATGAATGAGAAAGAATCTTTGATTGAATATTACTCATCAGCGCTCGGATTTATGGAGCGGCAGTCGGGTTGTCTGCGGGATTCGAGCCAGCAAAACCCCATCGGGTTCGACGTGATATTCCCGGCAATGGTTGAGGCCGCTGCCGTGGATTTCGATCTCAGTCTCCCACTGGACGCCGGAGTCGTAGACCCTATGCTTCGGAAAAGGGACGACTGGTTGCGAATGATGGCGACTTCTTCTTCGTGTTCCAAGGGACACAACGCCTACCTGGCGTACATCTCGGAAGGGATGGGGAATTCCCGACGCCACTGGCAGACTGCGCTCAGTTTCCAGCGGAGCAACGGCTCTCTTCTCAACTCGCCCTCCGCAACCGCCGCCGCCTTCATTCACCTCCGCGATTCCAACTCCCTCCATTATCTTGCATCAATATTTGATGATGATCATCATCTCCTTCTCCCCGCCGCCGGAGTCGCAGCAGGTCTAGTTTTCGTAACGAGAATTTCTACGAAAACAAGAAATTAAATACTAAAATAAAATGATTCTTATTAATTAATTCTACAGTTCCAACCAGTTACCCACATCAAGTTCAAACTCGGCTGAGCCTGATTGATGGAATTCGGAATCTGGGAATTCAACACCACTTCCGTGACCAAATCAAGCGGGGTTTGGATGAGATCTATACATGCTGGATGCAGGGAGACGAGGATATATTCTTGGATCCCACAAATTGTGCCATGGCATTCAGGATACTCCGACTCAACGGATACCCAGTTTTCCCTGGTAATTAATTAATCTATAAAATTAAAATAATTAATTACTATATATATGCCACAATTATTATGAGGACTAATTATTTATCCGAAGATAATTATATATGTAATCACACTAAACATCCGTAGCATATGCCCCAAATTCGATTTTATCCTGCATGCATGCTGAGCTGATGGCTGTTGGCTACTGTAGACGTGTTTAGTCGATTTACAGAAGATCGGTTCTGGAAGGAAACGATGGAAGGATATTTGGAAGATGAGAAGGCCGTGTTGGAGCTATATAAGGCCTCCAGAGTTATCCTCCCTGGAGAAACAATTCTGGAACACCAACAGCTATGGACAAAAGAATTCTTGATACAGTTGCGTGGGGATCAAGAATCAACTCATCATTATTCTAATAGGCCCAAACCACACAAATCGGTCATCACTGAGGTGCATGCTGCTAAATATATACCTTCACTACGAGACTTTTCAAAAGTTGAAGTCGGACAAAATATGTCTATAAGTTCGATTTTTAAAAAGATGAAAAAGTGTTATTTATTTATTTATAATATAAAACCAAAAACTGAGATTTAGAGTTTATGCACAAAATTATTTTGAAAATAAAAAATTATCCCTAATATATTTAAAATTATTTGGAGAAATACACTTTTCTTTCATTTATATAATTTATTAAAAATAAAATAAATTAAAAAAAAATGATATTGTTTAATATAAAAGAAACATAACAAGATTCACTTTGATTACTTTGTATTTTTTGGATTTATACTCATATTTTATATCAGAAATCATTTATTGTCATTTTTCTTTTGATAACGGTGAAATATATTATTAATTAAGTGAAAAAGGAAAGAAAGCAACAAGTAAAAAGAGAAAGAATGCAACCTAACAAGAGCCATTCAAGACTCTGAATGGGCATTCAATCTCAAACCACACCAACACTCAGAGTTGCCCCACTGAAACGGATTAGGTGCCAACAACTAGCATCAGGCAACCTAATACACTACAACAAGACATATATATTCATCTGCAACCACAAGCTGACTCCAACTCTTCTGAATGCCCACCACCTACCCACCTTTGCCATTTTATTGTCATTTTACGCAATCTCTAATATTAAAAATTAGTTCTAATAATTTTTCAACCAAACAATCAAACCTTTTTTTTTAAATTTAATGTTATTTAAAGTGTTTTTTTTAAACTCCAACAGAAGCTGTTTTTAAAAGCTAATTAAGTCATTGATTAAATACTTAAATGGGTCTATATGTCATTATTTTTTACAGGTGAATAATGTTCTTACTTATCCATTTCAAGCTGATTTGGAATCCTTGGCTCGAAAAAGAACCATTGAACAATACTCTACTGATACAACGAGGATTCTCAAGTCCTCCTTCAGGTTGGGCAGTTCAACACAATAATAACTTTGGTTTCCTTTGTATCTATCTATATGTTGACTTACGTTCTTGCTTATTTTTGTTTGCTTCATCTCAGTTCTCCATACTTTGGCGGCCACGATTTTCTGACATTAGCGTCCGATGATTTCACATCTCTCCAATTGCTATATCGTGAAGAACTTGGGAATCTAATGTTGTATGTATACAGTACTATTATATATAGTTTCCTCTGTGTGTATATTATATATATAATTGTGGCCAAACTAGACCAATTAACCCAATTCTTGCAAAAAATTGTAAAATCACTTGTTGACGAGATTCTTACAACCACTATATATATATTTTGATTCTTGCAGGTGGCTTAAAGAGAAAAGGTTGGATGAGCTTAAGCTGGCGAAACCGAAAATGAGCTATGGTTACTTCCATGCTCTAGCCGTGTTCAGCGACCCCGACCACTCTGATGCACGTAGTATATTTTGCAAACATGCTAGTCTTGTGGGTCTTATTGATGACTTATTTGACATTTATGGGACACATGAAGAGCATTTGAATTTGGTCCATCTTCTCCAGAGGTACGTGGATCTGTATATATATACATGATAACAATTGACGTTATTCAATAATATAGCGCCTACTCCAAGCAGTGGCGTAGGCAGAATTTGATACAAGGGGGTTCAGGTTTAAAAATATGTCATGATCTTTTCATACTTTGAAAATGTTAGTTATCGAGAATTTTATTTGTAATGTCTCATATAATTTTTTTATGATATTATCGCTTTTTCGACTTAAAATATTAAGATTTTTTGAGGGATTGTAGGCAACGAGAGAGTTATAATTTAGTTGTGTGGGTGTTAATTTAAGACTTGTTAGTCTTTGGTGAATTTTTAATAAAAAATTTAGTTTTTATTGTAAGTTGAGAAAAAACTGATTTTTTTACACCAAACAACTAACTCGAGGGTGCAATTGAGTAAAGTTTTCCAAAGATTGAAATCCCGTACCGACGGTTTAACCAAAAAAACTCTTACTGTAAGCAAAATTGGTAGACAGTGTTTAGTGGTATGAAACGGTTGAATCATAGTTTCTTCATAAAATATTCCTCTGCTAACTTTTCTGGTACAATCTCCGGTATCATTTTTCAATTCTTTCTTATTTGTATTCGGTCCCATTTTCATCTATATATAATATTTTTAGGAAGGGGTGCCATCCTCCAAGCTAGCTACGCCCATGACTCCAAGTAATTTGGTTGTTGTGGTCTGTATTTCGATGAATAAGAATTGTTTTTGCTGTTCGATTTTAATAAATCTAAATATTGGATTTATCTATTAGATGTTAGTAATAATATCATATTTTGAACTCCATTTAATTCATGATATAGGTAGATGTAGTCAACTTAAAAGTAATGAAAGTATATATATGACATGATTACAACCAATGTAGTAAAAAGCGATAGTTTAAACTCGATCAAAAGGTTACGGTTTTACATTCTTTATCTCTTCAAATATAGTAATTAAAAAAACAATTGCCATCATAAACTTTATATATGGTTTTAAGGAGCTCTATAAGCATATTAAAACGCTTAAGGAGCATGTCGGCCATTCGCTGGGCTGGTCATGTAGATGGAATTAATCCTCTTCCCATGGAAGATGATGAATCTAGTTAGTGGTAGTAATGATTACGATGATGGTGATGTTGATGAGAATGGGATACGAATTTTGATGTTGAAGCCCAATGTTAGGGGGTGTCCAAATAGTTACCATGGTTATAACCAAATCAAATAAGGTTAAATTTCATTAACCATGGAATACAATATCATAACCAAACCGTCCAAACTAACACAACAACCAAATTAACCAAACTAAAGTTTAATTGGTTAACTAGATTAACCAATATAAAATCACATTATCATTGACGATGAAATTTTTTTGGTTAATGCAACAATTCGCAATTTATATAATGAATAAAACATAACAATCAACACTTAGTTATAGTTGACCCTTAACAAAAATACATGCAACTAAGACAATTATCTTACGATTAGTATAGAAGTATTTATCTAACAAAAATTTATGACAATGGTATGGGTTAATGAATTGTTGTGTTTGTGTAAATTGACTTAATCTCTTAGCAATTACCATAGGCTGGAAATGACATTCCTTTCAAGTTTTCATCCATCATAATGTATGAAATTTATCTAAATTAGGCGTTCATATGTTGTGGTCTACACTTTACATATACAAAATATACACTATATGAGCAATATTGAGCTTTATATTTTATGAGTCTAAAAGGGATAAACGTTAACTCTTGAGTGGTTATGCAAAGTATTAAGTATGTGTATATAATATATGTTAGATATATGACTAATTACTTAACTGGTTAATTTGGTTTGACTGGTTAGGAGTGTCTGAAACCAAACCAAACCACCTAAACCAAACATGCTTAAAATTTCAACCAAACCAAACCAATTATCCAAATTAACCAAACCAAATTATCCAAATAGTATCGATTAAAACGGTTACCACGGTAACCAAACCTTTCAACACCCATACCTAATGTAGTCTTAAATTCACAAGAACCTTTGGGATGCTTTTATGTCCAAAATTTGGATATTTAAGATTGTTTGTCAATTACTGGTCATGCTAGTGTGTGCCATTACAACGGGTCCTCTATATATGTTTGTTTCTGAACTTCTTGTTATGAGTTTATTTTCCTGTTAGAGCTTTTCAAATTTGATTATGTAGATGAAATATGACATTTCATGGTTGTTTAATATTGGGTACACCTATGGTGACATGCAAGGCACCGTGACTTGCACTATTCGGTTGACCTATATGCTCATCCGGTTGACCGGTTATCTCATCGTGGCCATTCTGATAGAAGCTCAGGTGACCATTAACATATAATGGGCAACCATTTTAAGGTAGTAATTACCAAAATGGTCTACCACAACAAAAAAACTGGTCAACCGATTTGAGGCAGTCATAAAATAAATGGTCGACCACAATATACTTACAGTAAAATAAGTCTACGCACTTTGAATTTTATGCTTATGTCTATCGAAATATGTACTTTGTTTGGTCTAAGAAATTACGATAGAAACCAACAAATTCAATAGACAATTATAGCAAGAAACCATAATTTCTTAACAGTTTAACACTAACACCAAATACAATAAAACACACTTACCTAAAATCGAAAATCAAAACGGCTTAATGTCAATCCGCGATCATAGTTGCTTTAAACCAAATCGTTTTTAAGACGTAACAAATTTCACAACAAAAACACAATCTAAATCATGGAGTTCTTAGACCTCTCTCCTCTCACTCATCCGCATTTTCCTCATTAATGTTGCTAGCATTATGGTAGTCGGAAGTGGTAGGATGCATGTATCTTCCACTGAAGGATCGACATTGATCTCGCATTTCTGTTGCACTCACCTGGAGTGTGCTCATGTGGTTGGGTTTCGAGCTATGGTATTGTATATGAAAATATAATGGCTAATGATACCAATACTACCAAACGGGTATTAGCGGGTAACCTGTGGATACCCAATGTCAAAAAATTTAATCCCAAGTCTCATCACGTAATAAATATTATGGGTATTTAAGTATATGTAACCCTCAATAAACGGGATGGGTATGGGTATACCCAAATACTTGTTCCCCGTTGCCCACCCCTAGATAATTTCGAGTTCGATGTTGATAAAGTAATGCAATAGAGGTCGACCCTTTTAAGAATGAGGTATACCATTTAATGTACAAAGAGGTCGACCTTTTTAATGTTTGCTTGCCAAAGAGGTCGGCAGTTTTATGTACAAGGTTGACCGCTTTCTTGAACATAACAAAACAGAAACAGTAGATTCGGCCGATTTTTACTTTGCGATCGACCTATTTATGTAAGTCACGGTGACTTGTAAGTCACGGTGACTTGCAAGTCACCGTAGGAAACTCCTTTAATATTTTGTAGTATTTACAAAATATAGGTTACAGTCAAAAGATTTAGGATAATTTTCATGATTCATATAAGTTTACACTCTTACGTTCGGCTTTTATGCTTAAACTTATACCTTTTATTTCGTGTATACATACATAAACTACAATTTGACTATACAACAGTGTGAGCTATATATGAGTCAGATTGTTGTACTGTTGGAGTATACGATACTCCATGTACTCTTACTAAGATATCTCTATCTAGACCACGAATTAAACCGAGTTTGAGTCGGGTATGGCATTGTAACCTCTAATCAATACAGAGCCGACCCTGATTTTTCTTGATATGACATGAATCGGATTATCTAGGTCTTCTCTGTAACCTTATTCTTTACCACATTGGATTAGGGTTAGGTCGCATAAAGAAGTACTATATATCTCCTCAAGTATAGTGAAACTAGTTTTCTTCTACTCTGTGTTCTTTACTATCTTGCATGATCGATCATCCGAATTCGTCTTTAATCATTCAGATTTAATATAAAATAATAATTAATCATTCAGATTGGCCGGATCTCATTGGAGTAGATCTAACAACCAGATCAATTATAAAGCAAATTTACATTTTGTTATTTTAGTTGATAATTGTGTGTATGTTCATATATGTATAGGTGGGACCCCGTCGGACCGAAGGTAAAGTTCTCCTCCGAGCGAGTTGAAACATTGTATTGGGCACTTCACTCCACGATTTGTGAGACGGCGGAGAAAGCACTCCCAGTGCACGGCCAAAGTAGTTCAAAAATTATGGATCATGTCGTGGAGCTTGTAAGTATATATATTATATATATTGTCTGTTCCTGATTACTACTTGTTGATTCTCATGACATTAATTAAATGGTTCCGCATGAACGCACTAATTTGCAGTGGGTAGGTTTGTTGAAAGGAATGGTGCAAGAAACAGAATGGTCCAGAACCAAGACCGTCCCAACACTTGAGCAGTACATGACAACCGCCTCCATCACGATTGCTTTGGGACCAATCTTCCTCCCTGCTCTCTACTGTGCAGGTGATGAGCTGTCCGAAGAGGTCATCAGAAGTGCACAGTTTCAGAAGTTACTCCACCATACCTCCACTTGCGGCCGTTTACTAAATGACTCTAGAGGCTTTCAGGTAACTGAAACCTAATTTACGTTAACATATAGGTGGAGATTGCCTAGTGTACGACATACACCAACTTTTGAGTTTTGCCTGATGTACGATATATACCTGCGCGCTTGATGGTAATGAATTAATTAATTTGATACGTCTGTTCGGTGTTGCAGAGAGAAGCTGCAGAAGGGAAACCGAATGCTGTGTCTTTGCGTATGAGTTGTCGAAGTAGTAGTAGCGCTGAAGCTGAAGAAGCAGCCATGGAAGAGATCGAAAGCTTGATAGAGGACCTGACACGACAAGTTTTGAGGATGGCGTTGGATGAAGAGACCTGCAGCCCAACCCCAGGGATTCCAGCATCGGTCAGGTATATGTTCTGGGAAACGATGAAGAGCTTTCACTTGCTCTACATGAAGGAGGATTTATTCAACTCCACTAAATTCGCCAAAGTCGTACGATCTTTTATTGACGACCCAATCGCATCAGCACAAGGAATGAACTCAAGTGAGCAGCTATGTATCCCTTCAGTGCCAAATAACAAGAAACTATTTGAAGGTCAGGTAAAATGTGATCCGGTAACAGCAGTACTACAAGAAGAAAACAACCACCTTTTTTCCAGGACTCGTCAGATGAAGCACAGACAAGTGGATAAATTTTACCTGTGAGGCACGATCGTATCTAACAGGTATATGATCCACGATTGAATCTCTCCCAACAACTCGAGTTATTGGGAGCAACTGGTTCTTTACATAGTATCAGAGTCTTATGTGACCAAGAGGTCTTGTTTTCAAATCCTGATAACCCCCATTTGTTAAGCACATGGTATGTGGACCTGTGCAAACTTGAAGCCCTTGTGACTAGCTTTCGTTTGAGGGTGCGTGTTAGTGTGTGGTATATGATCTACGATTAAAGCTCTCCCAACAACTCAAGTTATTGGGAGCAAATGATTCTTGACAATCAAAAGGTCACAACGAGCTCTTTACTTGTTTTTCCAACTTTCACTGTTTTTGCTTGTCTTTTTCACCTTGTACTACAACAAGCACAGTTGGCCCTTCTTTGTCTGCTACTGTCATTGAACAATATATGAATGAGGAAGGTGACTTAAGTTGAATAGTAGAGCTTCAAAAATAATTGTGCAATTTAAAACAAGGAAACTTGAAGCCTAGATGAATATCATACTGATCTGGTCATTATTTGGGAAGAACTCAAGAATTATCAGACAACTGCTCTTGCACTTGCTTACCTAGCAGTCATAGGAGCGTGCAACTATTAACACTCTCATGAGTCACCAGGATACAAATTAAATTGTTCATTTCCTACCCGATTTGAATGAAAACTATTATATTTCAAGTTCCTAGGTCTTATTTAGTGATCCCCTGCCCGCTATGGGTCAAGTTTTTGTTTTAATAGAATTAACGACACAACGTGAGAGGGGATATCGTAGTAACCTAAATAAAGGGGAAATGATAGAATCTATAGCATTAGCACTTCACTACTTGGGTGGTAAGACAATAGATTAACAACAAGGGTTGACTAGAACAACTCTGTTGGTAGCTCTAGAGGTAGGGGACATGTAAGATTTGGAGGACAAAAACCATACAACACTCGGTAACACTTGGTGACACGTATAAAATATAAATTTTAATAGTCTCACCCCGGTATGTTTTCCATTTTTTCATATATTTGGTCGTTTTAACTTGAATTTGCTTGGTAATGCTCAAAGGTGTGTCTAATCTTCCTTAGGGATGTTTATATAATTTTGATAAATTTTGGGTAGTATTTTTGTTAAAATATAGGTATCAAAGTGTTATTGTAGGTAGGGTTTGTTCTAGCAAACCTATAAATATAGGTACCAAAGTGTAATTGCTCAAAGTTGTAAACTGTACAAGACGATTAACGAAATAGAAGAGCATAAAACATGAGAGGGAGATCATCTCCGTGGACTAGTGTCACATTGACGAAACCACGTTAAAAAAACCTCGTGTCTCTTTCATTCTAGTTTTCTGCTTGATTATTTGACATGGTATCAGAGCCTGCAATCTGAGATCTTAGCTCGTGTCGATTGATTGGTTTTCTCTTGGTTTCTCTCGCTTTCAGCGAATTGGTTGGCTGGGTGCTATTTTCTTCAGGGTTCTCGACTGTGGGTATTCTTATTTGTTGTTGGGTTCCATCATCATTAGGGTTCTCGGCTGTGGGTCTTTTTATTTCGATCTTCCTTCGTCCGACTTCATCAGGTTTTCGGGTTTGGTCTTCTCTTTTGCTGGGATTTATTGGACGCATCCCTTAAGCTACGTTTTTCTTTGGCAGCTCTTTAGTTGACTATCTCAGCTGGTTTCAGACTTCTTAGGGTTTCTTTCCGCAATCGTTTGTTCTTGCGCTCGGCTTCGGTGCTCTTTTCCTGTATGTGGCTTATATCCGGTTTGCTACATTTGGTTCTTCTCCATCCTATTGTTGCTTTTGCTTGTGTGTTGCTGGTCCCTCTGCTCTTGTCGTCAGGCACTCAGGAAGACTGGATTCGTCCACCATCAAATTCGATGGTAAGAACTTTGCCTTGTGGGAGTTTCACTTCTGCAATTTCATGGAGGGTAGGCGTCTTCTTCCTATTCTCACGGGTACGCTGACTAAGCCTGCTGCTATTGCTCCTCCATAGGAGATTGATGATTGGGATGTCGGGAACGCCACCATCATCACGTGACTGTTGGGTACTCTTGACACCATCACCACCCTCAGCCTTTGCCGCTTCTCTTCTGCCCATGAAATTTGGACTCACATCTTGGCCACCTACTCGCAGACCAATGCTTAACGTCAATTTGAGCTAGAATGTGAGCTTGCTCGCTGTGAGCAAGGAGACAGGGACATGTGGGTTTATTATCAGGAGTTGATGTACATGTGGATTGAACACGATATGCTCGCTGTCTCTTTGTCTAACGGGGTGGTTTCTACTGGGGTTATTCAGAAGCGGTCCCGCTCTTGCTTGCTTTAGTTTCTTATGAAGTTGCGCCCTGACTTTGAGCCTATTCGGGCTTCTCTTATCCATCAGAATGTGACGTCCATTGATGTGGCATTTGTGGAGCTGGTTCGTGAAGAAACTAGGTTGAAGAGTCAAGCCCAACTTGCAACGGTTTTTTCCATCGGTCGTTTGGGTTCGCAGCGGTCCTCCAAGCCCCAGTTTTCCCAAGGTAATATCAACACCTTGACCTGCCATTTTTGTCGTGAAGTTGGGCACATTCATCCCCATTGCAAGTGTAAGAACTTCCGCATTTACTGCAAGCAAATCCAGCCACATCATCTTGGAGTGTAAGTAGCCTGCTAAAAAAGGGAGATAACCTCTGGCACCTGGCTCTTCTAGCTCGTCTCACTCGAGTGCGGCGACTTGTTGCTGAGGCTCTCTAGGAGTTTCTTCCCACCGCCTTGAATTCAGCCTTCTTCACAAGTGCAGCGCCAGGTAACTCCTCCCGTTGGTTGCTGGACTCGACCGCCTTCAACCATATGTCTCCTCATCATCATTATTTTTCACCTTTGCATCCTACTTCCTCCATGAATTTAAAGGTTGCCAATGGGGCTCATGTCTCGATTGATGGGGTTGGCGCTGCTGTCACTTCGTTTGCCTGTCTACCTAACTCATTATATGTCCCTAAATTGGTCCCTAATCTAGTATCCATGGGTTAGTTAACAGAGGAAGGGTGTGATATTCATTTCTCTTCTGCTGGTTGTATGGTACAGGATCAGAAAACACAGAGGGTGATCCAGCGGGGTAGACGTGATGGGCGGGTGTTCGTGCTAGATGAGTTTCGCAAGGAGTCTGAAAGTGGTTCGCTGCTTGATGGTCAAGATAGCAATTGTTGTTCTTCTGAGTTTGAACAATCATATTGTGATGAGAGTTTGGATTTTGAGAATTCTTTGCGGGCTTTGAGTTTGGATAATTCATGTGGTTATTCCGTTAAACAGTCAGGCAATATGGATTTTACTATTCAGTCGTTTGTGTGGGATTTACGACATAATAGACTTGGTCATCCTCATACTGGCCGGTTGTTGTCTATGTTCACAAATAAATTATTGCCTACGAAATTGGATTCTTCGTTAGTTAATCCCTCTCCCTGCATTAGCAGTATTGAGGCTAAGGCATCATAGTCATCTTTTCATTCTAGCGATACTGTCTATGTTGATGCTTTTGATTTGGTTCATACGGATTTGTGGGGACCTTCACCAGTTACTTCGCGGTTGGGCTATCAATACTTCACTATTCATTGATCATGTCACCCATTTTACTTGGATTTACTTTCTTCAGAAGAAATCGGAATTGATCCATCATGCCAAAGACTTCATCTAGTATGTTCGCACACAGTTTGGGAAAACAGTCAAGATTGTCTGGTCTGATACTTGTGGCGAGTTTATCTCAGCTCCCCTCCAAGCCTTTTATGCAGAACATGACATCTTATCTCAATTTTCATGCCCAGGGGTCTCGCAACAGAACGGGGTTGTCGAACGGAAGCATCGGCATGTCCTTGAGCATACCCGTGCTCTACTTTGACACTCTCATATCTCCACACTACAATAAATTCAGCCTATTATGACGAGGCAATTTTGTGATATTAGATACTCATTTTGTCATATTTGGTATAATGGGATTTTTCCAGAAATAGCACCTTTTAAAAAAAAATACAAAAATAGCACCCAGTCCAAAGAAATTACAAAAATAGAACCCATTTTTAAAAACCGCACCTCTAAGGTGCGATTTGATTGTGAAACGCGCTCCCCTGGTGCGGTTTATGAAGCATCTAATTGAGCAAGATCCTGACTTGAAGGTGAAAGTCATAATCGCTGACATTGAAAGTCATTATGGTTATATGATTAACTATAAGAAGGTATGGCATGGAAAGCAGAAAGCTCTGGCCGTCGTGTTTGGTGATTGGTAAGAATCATACGCATTCCTTCCTAGGTTGATTTTGGAATTGGAGACGTCTAACCCTTACAATTTTCTCCCCTCGATACAACCTCCAGAGCCAGGTAACAAACGCCATTTCAGATGACGTTTTTGGGCATTCAAGCCATCTATTGATAGTTTTGGCTTCTGTGTCCCTGTGATCCAAGTAGATGGTATATTCCTTACCGGCAAGTACAAGGGTACTCTCCTGATTGCCAGTGGGGCGGATGCAAACATACAAGTATTTCCTTTAGCCTTCGCCATTGTTGAGGGAGAGAATACTGATAGCTATGGATGGTTTTTCCGGCAAATTCAACTCCACGTCACTAGGAAGACGAACCTGACAATAATCTCTTATCGGCACGCCGACATTAGAGCTGCCATCTTAGGTTTGGATCTAGCATGGAAGTGGTCCCAAAGGTGGTGCATACGACACTTCAAGAGCAACTAGAACCATCATTTCAAGCAAAAGAAGCTTGCTGATAATTTGTGGTGGATTGGTAAGCTCTCGATTGGTTGTTTAATTTTGTCAAATAACAACATCTTATATCAATGAACGATGGTACACTTGTTAGACTCTTTCTAAAGAGATGCATGCCTAAGGAAATGGGGTTTTAAGCGATTATCATGGTGACAAGCTATGACACAACACCAAACTGCGACCAAGTGTAATCGCAGAATGGGACTGCAGTAAAGTGACAAGTTCTAAATATCAACCCGGGGTCTAGATCTACTGCCTAC